AACAAGATGGAACATTTTTTTTTAGTTGGTTTCGATCTGGCCAAAAAATTAAATTCCTAAATTTAGTGTGTAGTACATGTACAGTAGCAAAAAAAGTTTCTGATGCTGTTGTCGGGCTTATACTAAATCTATATGCTAAATACTTAAATGGTAAATTTAAACGCAATTTCATTAGAGTGAGAAGAAGCTGCTGAAAAGGTGATAATGCTTTTTTAGTTGAGAGATCTGGTGCTATGGATAGATATAAAACACTTAACATTGCACTATTAAAAAGACCTGTAAAATAAGTAGTTTTCTCATCATCACCTTCAAAACTTGCTTCAGTTAACTCCACTTGTTGGAGTTTTGACTTGAGCGATCCTATTTGGCTGCTACAAAACTCCCGATTCATAAAAAAATCAGATAATTTCTCCATAGTAAGGTCAGTTTGTACTGCAAAACTAACACTATTTTCATGAATTTCACTTGCAGAAATGTCTTGGGGGACATTTTCATTGCAGGTTCTTGCTGTTGCTATATCGTCGGTATTCTAAAAGTGAAGCTGGATTTATCGTATAAAGTAGCAGTAACAGTGAAAGAGAAAATAGTCCTTTTGAAAAATTTTATTTACGCAAGGATTTGCCTTCTTTATGAAATTAAAAAACATTTGTACTTACAATAATTGTCCTCAAACGTTTCGACTTTTCTTCTGATTGCTGGACAGATCTAGCATGTCGCTTTCTAGCTCGATCTTTCTGGGATTTTGTCGAAGTATATCCTAAATTTTCACTAGGGATCCAATCTGGATTATTTGTATCTTCAAGTTCTGCTGGACTACCTAAAAGGTATTAAAAGTAACCTACTTGTAGAAACATAAACAAATTTTTTGCTATAGATGTGTTTTTGTATTTTAACAAGACAGTCATAATACTTACCATTAACAAAATGTTCTGAACAAATTCGAGCGTTTTTCAAAAACGTTTCAGTTAAATCGCCCCTTTTGAGGCATCCGATCCACATACTTCGTCGTTTTTTTGATAATTCGTCAAGGCGATTCCCTCGATCTCTGGATGCTGCTGGGATCCTGAAAAACCTCACTCTATCCCTTTCAGCTCTATTGGAGCACCCAAACATGCTACAAAATGAAGGCATCTTCACCAAATAATAGTTTGAAAATTCTTGGTTTGCATTAAAATAACAATAACACTAAATCAGGTTATGTTCGCCTTGTGTCTGCCCCTCATTTAAAATGGCCGATCAGTTATGCGGTTATGCAGTGTTGCCAGATGAAATTTAAAAAATTCGTAAGAATCGAGGAAGAAAAATCATGGGAAATCGTGAGACAAAATTGCTTGTAGGAAAATAATGCTCAATATTGCACAACAATTTTCTTTTATAGATTTATCAAAAGTGATATGATTTTACATCCATAAGAGATAGAATAGTATATTGTGTATTTAGGTGGAAAAGTAACACATTCTCGGCCTACGGGGTAAGTTGACGGGCGAGGCGTAGCCGAGACCGGCAAACACTGAAGACCGAGAATGTGCTTTTCTACCGAAATACACATACTATTTTTTCTGCGATCGGTTAAATACCTGTTAAATGTTTGTCTTTAAGTCCTAATTATTCAGCAATACAAGAATAGCTTTCCCGGCGTAGGCCGGAAAAGTGTTTCCCGTATTCATTGATTCCTTAGCAACTATTGAAACATAATTGAAATACCAGAATATTGAGTTTTGCGACCTGTCAACCGGTCAAAAATGCTGATATTTCTTGTCAATCGCAGAAAAATTTTATTATTAATTAAATCTTGTATCCTTGTTTTTTCCGTTTTCTAGCAGGTATTCCGGAGAGGTGAACCTCGTTTTTATCATCCGCAGGATTGCTTATCCTAATAAGGCGTACGTTCGCCAATTCTCGAGTCGGCAGCTGGTCTGCGAGTGACGTCACCACTATTAGCAGCTGATAGTGGTAACGTCACCCGCAGACCTTGATGGATTGCTTGCGATTCAGGCTGTGCTTGCGAGCAGTGGCGCACCCAAGGGGGGGGGTTGGGGGTTTTGACCCTCCCCGAAATTTAGCACTAGAACGAAGAATATGCCTTTTTCGTCGCTTAGCTTGAACGCTTTTTGTTAAATTTAATCTTTCCAGATTTCCAGGCCAAATTTATGTAGTATGTATTCTGTTTTCGTTGAATGAAAATAGCAAACAACTTGTGAAATCTACTCATGAAGAGAATTATTAAGTTTTTTGTATTGAATTTTTTTTTTTTTTTTCGAATTTTTGGTGAAAATTTGTGCATTGGTGATAATTTGTGAACCTAAAAGGTTTTGCCTCCGACAGCGAGTTGATTTAGGTGAGTAAACAGCGAGGTAGTGTAAAATGCTCGAGAATTTATTTTTGGAGAACGTTCTCCGTCTCCGAGAATGAACGAGAATAATGAGCATGAAAGAAAAACAGGGATGGGATATAATATAAAATGAAAAAAAGTTCTGCTTATATTTGGTAGATCTATGAATAAAGGGTTTCTATAGGAGATGACGAACTTGTGGAAGCTATCGATTTTAACACAAAAAACTTGAAAATATTACACTTTTTTCTAGGCATTTTCAATAAAAAGTAAACACTCTAGGTCTGTTCGCACAGAAATTACAAACTAGCCAAAGTGAATTTCATTGGTTGAAACTAATTTTCTTATTGTTTCTAACTGTTTTCAACCAATGAAATTCGCTCAGACTGGTTTATGATTTCTGTGCGAACAGACCTACTTACACGCTTTAAGGGCAGGTATTATAAAACTGCTTTGAAAGTTAACTCAAAATTAACTTTTTGAATTATATGTAATTCCAGAAGTTAACCTTTTTTTTTTTTTTTTTTTTTTTACGGATATGCGCACTCGCAAGGAAATGTCCTATCACGCTCGAGAAGCGGCAACCTTATTTTAACTCTCAAAGTAGTTTTATAATACCCGCTCTTAAATGAATATCTACTAAATGAAAAACTGCCAAACGGGAGTGGACGACAAAAACTGGCGTGTGAATCCCTGAAACCAATCATCTGTGCTGGTCGTCTGTCGACTGTCGGGAATTTTTCTCGATCCCTGGACCTTAGTGTTGGAAAATAAAGTTATTTTTTGAAGGTTTAAAATTAAAGTTTTTGGGCGTGACACCCGAAATCATTTTCTGCTATGGCGGCCGGCCTACGGCAGCGCCAGCCTGCGGCGAGCCTTCATCATTATGAAACCCCCCCCCCCACCCCAAATAAAAAAACCTGGGTGCGCCACTGCTTGCGAGTTAAATTTCTTGGGAAATTTAAATTTAGAAAAGGCTATTTCAACGTTTATTAATTCGTTTTTTGGACTCGGATAATGCATTTTCTGCCAAGAGTTGAGGTCTGCAGCTGACGTCACATGACAAATATTGGAGTCTCGTGGACTTCGCAGACACTTTCAGCTGAATAAGCAGTCCTATTAGCACAGAATATACAAAAACAGACAGAAGTTAACTCTCACGCGCATCTCTCGCCGCCATTCGAGGATAGAGCCTATCTTTAAATGGCAGAACAATGCGATTTAACGCCCATCGCATCTGCGCACGCCGCCATTTGGGGATACAGAGCTCGAGTTAGCCTGGTGATTGTTTTTGTATATGCCGTGCTATTAGAGGTGCTTTCCAGTGACCCATTTGAGTTACTCCTGAGCAGCTCAGGACTGCTCCACAATTACTTTGCGCGTTCCAGTGCTTAGAGTGTCATTCACTGAAACTACTCATTTCTGTTATCCCCTGCCTCCTCGTGCACCAACCTTTATTTCGGTGTTTCATGCTCCTGAAGTGCGAAATGGTGGGGGTTAAGACGAGAGCGTTCCAGTGCTGCTTGTGTGTAACAGTTCAAGTTCGTCACACTCCAGGAGCATGATACTCTAACAATTTAGGCACTGGAAAGCTGCTCAGGTTAAGTGTTCTTGGGCGGGCGTGTACCAGGAGCAGCTTAAAATAACTAAATATCATATAGTAGATTTTTATTTCGATTATTTCCGATTACATTGTTTTGGACCAAAATCGTGTAATCTTATGAAAAATCGTGAGATCTGGTCACCCTGGAATGGTCAAAATCAAATATCAATGAAATAGATTGGGGACACTTTTCCATCAGAAACTCTTAAATTCCAGTCATGTAATTAAATTGAACAGAAGGCTTGCATCTGGTTGCTACTGTGAATGTGTACGATCAGTGGCAGCCAACTTGGGTGTCTCGAGTATCGACTGCTAGGGCGGTTTACTTTTCAGTTGTACATTCTCATTTTTCAACTATGGTCTGCCATTTTGCGGTTGCTTTAGCCAGTTTTTGTTTCAATCTGTTTTTAAACTACCAAATCGTGCAATACGTTGCGGGTGCTTCTCCCAGAGGTCACTGTGGGCCGCTTTTCATAAAATATGAAATTCTAACATTACCTATGACATTACGCGAGCAGAAGCGCCGACTTTTGAAAGTCCTCAGGGGTGCAAGATATTAACTCTCTCATAACATTTTATCTACGACCGCAAGCCCAGATTTCTTTTATTTCTGATTTTCTTTTATTCTGAGTAAATTATGTCAGTATTATTAAAACGCGTAGGGTATAAAACCAATTACATATGACTACAAATATAGCTCAGCCCTGTTTGAGATACCATATTTCAAAGTCATATTACTATTCACAAGTAATCACTCTCAAACCAGCCCACAATGGGATAAGTGTGCTATCAAACACCTAGAGATTTAGGTAGACAGTCAACGGGAGTCTTTTTTTCATTACCTCGATAATAACGAGCTCGTGAATGTTCTTGGTCAGATATTAGGAGAATCCCACAAGGCTAGCGCTTTCTCGTCCTTTGTTCAATATTGAACAATTCTTAATTTCATTTTCAAGTTCGTAAGTTTTAGATTAAGTATGCTTTGTTAGGGTATAGATTTAATTTAATTTGTAATATACCTAATACTTAATCCAATAATTCCAATAATTTATTCTATTCCTTTAGAGTAGAAAAAAAGAAAACAGAAGCAAAACCTGAACCAGTCCGAGATGAGAAGAAAAAATCCAAATCAAGCTCAGCCAGCAGTGCTCCAAAACTAGACATCAATAGGTAGGATTAATAAATGAATATAGAATATTTAAGTACATATTTTCAAATATATTTATTTTAGCTATAAAACAGCCACAGGTAGTTCCCAATACAGATTTGGCGTATTAGCCAAAATAGTTAAACATATCAAACAGAGACATCAAGATGGTGAATCATTTCCTTTATCTCTAGAAGAGATTTTAGATGAAACTAATCAATTAGACGTTGGTAATAAAGTAAAACAAGTAAGTGAATATTTTGTCAGAAAAATCACGTCAGTTATTTGTTTGCGTGTTTTTAGTGGCTTCAAACGGAGGCGTTAGGCAACAACCCAAAAATCGAAGTAACTCCTGACCAAAAATATTTTTTCAAAGCCACTTATAAATTGAAAGACCGTAAAAGCTTGTTGAAATTATTAAAGCAACAAGATCTGAAAGGTTTGGGCGGGATTTTGTTAGAAGATGTTCAAGAATCTCTGCCTCATTGTGAAAAAGCTCTAAAGGTAGCTACATATTATTTCATGTTGCTGGCTGTTGGAAACTAATGTTTTGTTTCAGATTCTGAGCAACCAAAATGATATAGTTTTTATTGCTAGACCAATAGACAAAAAGAAAATATTATTTTACAATGACAGGACAGCACAACTGCCTATCGATGAGGAATTTCAAAAGTTATGGCGTTCTGTGGCTGTAGATGCTATGGATGATCAAAAGATTGAAGAGTACTTAGACAAACAAGGTAATGTATTTCATCAAAAAAATTATGCTTTCTATGGAAGCAGGAAACAGAAAGTCCCTTTCATTATTCATCATACCAATCACATCAAAATATCAAATCATCACTTTAAATTATCCCAATATTTTTCAGGAATTAGATCCATGCAAGATCATGGTCCCAAAAAGCCAGTGGCCATCAAAAGGAAAAAAGCAGGCCAAAGAAAGAAGACTTTCAAGAAACCCAGAGACAACGAACATTTGGCTGATGTATTGGAAACTTACGAAGACAACACACTTACCCAAAAAAATGCTGTTTAGTTTTAAGTTGTAGGGAATAAAAACAATTATAATATAAAAAGAAACTTAATTTATTATGAAAATATAAAATAACCTAAAAAAGTGACTACAAAAATATTTATACACGCATAGGGTGTTACATGGCTTAAAATGTAAAAATACACAATATTATTAGACTACATTAAATGGTTACAAGTTTGCTTTTCAAGCAGGAAAATCATATAAAACAAGCTCACCATGTTTTATTACAAATAAACAAAACATCCTTTTTTTGATTCACTTATAGTAACTTTCAAATAAAACAAATAAAAATTTTGACTCTAGATCGTCTTGCGCCGTCAAAAATCGCATTTTATGGGGTTCGTCAAATTTAACCCCAAAAACTCGCATAACTAAAAAACTATTCCGATTATTCTTTGACTTTTTTCTTTTATCACAGGCAATTTGAGACCTACCAATATAACACAATAGAGGAGTGATATTGCAACTCATTCAGGACCATATTGTAAATAAGTATATACATTATAATGCAGGGTGTTCTACCAAATGTCTACAGTTCTTGAAGTTGCGGACTTCTACTTTTTTTTTTTTATGGTTCCTGTGTTCATTTTATAGCTGCCACTTTGACAATATTATAGAATATAAGGGCTTAAAGGATTGGAAATATGGTAATGAAGATCATTGTATGTTGATTGACATTATCTCTAGTGATGATCGAAGACTATCAAACAAAAAACACTCCATATCATAATGTAAAATGAGCAACTTGCAGAACCTTAGACACTTCAATAACAAACAATACACCCTGTGATGATAATAAAATATGAAATAGATTTTCAAGAATAAAATAATATTTTTGGTCAATATTTTAAAAAAACAATACATTTTTATAATAGAGCTTATCATCTGGCAAATGGTGTATCTGATGTTAAGGCAATTTCTTATCTGAAGAAATTGAATGTAAATGAAAACAGAACTAATCCATTTTCAAACGTCAGTACCCAATACATAAGTCGAAACACCAATTTCAACATCCTTTAAACAAAGTCTTCAATGTAGACTCTCCATTACACTTAATTAAATTATCATTTTAACATTAGATTGGGTGTGTATAACATTTAGAACATCCTAAGTATATCACAACTAGAGTAAATATAAATGTAAATAGCCTTAATTATTATCAATTATAAGTAAGGATATCAAAGTTTGATACAATTTGTAATGAGTGCACTTTTGCTTTATTGTTACAAAAAGCCTCATTTTCACAAAGATAGTTAAAGTATGATTCATAGATAAATTGATATATATGACAACATTGCTGTTGTCTATTTTGCAATGGTTTGTTTATCAACTTACGCAAGATTACTCTCAATTATTTAGGGGCTCTTTCAATTTAGTAATAGACTAGTATTGAGTTCTTGTTTTTTTTGTCTAATATAATCGGCTTGAGTAACCAAGTTTTCAAAATGTAGACAAAAACTCCAAGGCTCAGTTTCATAATTGGTGGTAAGTAACTTGCACTGGTTATCAAACTCATAGTTGCGGGTTGACTACATTGAATATTCTGAAGCTTGACCAATGGTTTTGGCTAAACCACACATTATGAAACAGATATATTGTAGGCTACCACTGTTTGTGAAACTGGCCCTAAGGAGTTTAGATTAGAATAAAAAGGGACCATTGCATTTATATTTTTAAAAAAATGGGATTTTCAAGGAAACAGCAATCTTTACCAAGTAGAAGTAGATAGCACTGTTTCATGAGAGTACTAACATCGAGAAAATGGGGCTTTGTGCTTAGAAAATGCATAATATTTTTACCAAATTATAATTCAAAAAGGTTGAATTTTTATTAAAATTGCAAACCCGAAATGTTGAAAATATAGAAACTAATTTATTCGTGCTTCTAGGATGGTTCAAGCCAATTTTTTTTATAAACGTTAAATCACATCTTATGGTATTTGATTGGTCACAATTTGACAATAAAAAACTTTTAATTTATGTAAGCTGTGATCTGTCAAATTGGGACCAATCCGCACCTCTTTTTGCTTCAAAGATGGATCACATTCAAATTTTCTAAGAATTTTTCAAGTTTCAATTTCAAAAATCACAAAATAAAATAATTTTAAAACTTAAAACTATCTGCATTTAATTTAGAATTGCCCCTGTCTGGCCCCGAAAAGTTGTTCATAGCTACTACAGCGATAAAAGTAGTGAAAGAAAATGCCACACAACTGTCAATTCTGTGTTAAAAAAAAAAAAATTGTATAGCCTAAACACTCGACGGCAGTCTTTGTCTTATTTACATTTTTGTAAGTAGGAAACACTCGTGGACAATTTGAATCATCATTTTTAGAAAAAAAATCCATGGTGACAAATTTTCACAGTTGCATGGCATAATATTATTATCAATATGTAGTTAAAAACATCTCTACACTACTAAGTCGGCTAAAATGAACACGTGTGTGTGACTGCTGCCAGTGTAGCTTATGCGACCCCCAAAATCCTGACTAGGACGGAGGCGGTGGGGAGACTGAGGGGCGACGCCCTCAGAGTATCACGCAGCAGCGACAGTAGCGCTGTCGCGAAGCACCGGCAGTAGGTGGAGGCGTCACTGGTGCAAAATAGGCGTGAACTTTGATGTTCGGCAAGTGATTCTACATGGTAAAATTTCTTAGTTTGCAAAAGTTAATTATTCAAAGAAAATTCTCACCCTAAGTCTTTTTATTCCTACTCTTGTGATTAGCTGACAGTCATACAGTTCGACTCTTTGTAAATTGTGACAGGAAGTGAGGTGCTCCAAAGAAGCGTCAGTGATTAGAGGACAATTGTCTAGTTCGAGAACTGTTAAATTTTCTGCGGCGCACGGGGACATCGACAAGTGACGGATTCCTTCGTCTGTTATCAGCTCGCAGTGCGATAAAGTCTGAAAAAAAAAATAATCAAATAAGTGTCTATTGGAAAGCCTGTTTTTAAATTTTTCCCAAGAGCAATTCGATGTTGACTGTGTCAAAAGCCTTTTGCATATCAATAAATATTATTATTATTATTATATGGTTCTTGATGAAAAATGGTTGTGTTACATATTCGAGGAGGTCAGCCGTTGCATCAAGGGTATTACTTTTTTGTGGGCAACCATATTGATATTCATCAAAGAAATTATTTTCGATTTCTACTCCTGACGAAGACGACTAAAGCAAGAAAAAAGGCAAACGAATATCGGAATATGGAACGTACTTAACTGGTACAGGACGGGTTCAGCGGCCAGGACAATACAAGAAATCGAGCGGCCCAAGATGGATGTGACTACACTACAGGAAATAAGATGGCCTGGCTCAGGGAATATAAAAATAGAAAACTCAGTTATCTTCTATAGTGGCAACAAGCCGAACGAACATCAATTCGGTAAGGGTATTGCAAATAAGAAAAACCAGCTAGGCTCAGTCCTAAAATTTGAACCCCTGAGCGAATGATTGTGCTACCTAAGGATGCAAGGAACATTCTATAACTACTCCTTATTGCCTGTACACGCCCCGACCCAAGACAAAGATGAAGCAGTGAAAGACAAGTTCTACGACACCCTGGAGAGTAAAAAAGGCGCACTACCTGAATAAACCTTATTTTGGGAGATTTTATTAATGCAAAGCAAAGGAAGAGAAGCGGCATTAAGGCCCCACGTGGATACAAAAAGCCTACACATATTCTCAAATGATAATGGACTAAGGGCCGATACTTTTGCTATCGATTAACGAATTCGATACGTCGTCAAAGTTTTGCATGAGCCAAGTTCTAGAAGTATGATGTGGTTAGAGCACATTCAAACCCATCAATCAATCAAAATATACTTTATTGTCGGAAAATAAATTTCATTGACAAAGTATGATCTTAAGTAATGTGCAAGGTGCAAGTAATATAAAATTATCGGGTTATAAAAAAAAGGTACGGTATCCGCCAAAATAAACAGTACCGAAATCTAGAGCTCTGAGTAATTGCGCACACAAGTTGCATTTATCATATTTCGTTTACTTGGAATTAGTTATGAGGTTGACATAAAGTTAAGGTTAAAATCACTACATCAAACTATAGAGTCATATAGAAGGTATAGCCAATACAGGAGAAACATAAAGCACCATAAAGGTTGCGGTTAGAACAAAACAAAACAATGAAACAAACAAAATTAAAATTTTTCGTTTAAAAATTCATTACTATGATAGTGGGCTTTTCCATGTAAAAATGTTTTTCCGCAAACGTCAAAAAATGACGACTTTTTTAATCTCAATTCTTAATGTTGAAGTTTGACTTTACAGATGTCATCTTTGGTTACTTTTTTGTCCGCGCGTTCCGTGAGCGTACAAAATAGTATATTGTTGTATTAGGAGTAGAAGCTTTACTTTTTTGTGCTGAAGCGGTAGGTTTGCGAGCCGAACGTAGTGAGGCTTGCAATACTGCTGAAGCACAAAAAAGTGCTTCTACTCCGTATGCAACACGCTATTTTTTCTCTAAACGAATGGGGTAAGCTCGGGGGCAAGTGAATGGTTGAGCGGCAGTAAAAGTACGAGCGGCACTAAAAGTACTTCTACTGCCGCTCCAGCGGCACTAAAAGTACTTTTGCTGCCGCTGGGGATGCCAAGCAGCATAGAAATTAAATTTCTACCACCTCGACAGGTGTTAACCCGCTGGATTTGACTAGCAGCATAGAAATCAAATTTCTGACATCTTGACAGGAGTTAACAAAGTGACGTTTTTCTGACGTTTGGAGAAAAAAGTACTTTTTCCTACGAGCGTGCGCAAAGAAGTACTTTTCCGCACGCATTCCAGGGCTCAAAGTTACACTTTTCCGCACTCAGTGCGGATACAGGCCTTATCCGCACTGAGTGCCGAAAAGTAAAAATACTTGTCAAGCAACAATAAGTGCACCTGTCGACTTTGACACATGATGACAAATTTTTTCTCGGTTTCTATATCAGCCAACATCAATACAAACACCAAATATAAATTAACCTTGACACATTGTCAGATTTGTTCTCTATTTATATGCAAGAATCTACAAACTTTATCATCAAATTTAAATGCTTTAAGATGAACAGCTCTGACGAGGATTTTCTGTTATTTTTTTTATTAGGTAATTTTTTGATAAATGTATAGGTTCGCTTCAAGTTAATTAAAAATAATTGAACAAATTATGGGTTTAAAAAAAAAAAAAAATCTTGTTACCTACCTGATATGAAGCTCGTAGGAAAAATGTTGTTCCTAACACGTGCGCAAAGTGTCTTTTCCGCACGCAAACACGTATCCGAACTCCGCTTCGCGTCGTTCGTATAACTGTGTTTGCGTGCGGAAAAGTGACACTTTGCGCACTTGTTAGGAAAATAACTATTTTGTACGCTCACGGCCGGACAAAAAAGTGACGTCACAGAAATTTAACTTTGATTCCATCGTTTGAACGCCATTTGCGGAAAAGATCGCATGTTTCATTCGGAGAAAAGCACTTTTTGTGGCTCGTCTAAAATTGTCAGCCTCACTACGTTCGGCCGTCAAACATTTACACTGGTATTCATAGTCGACCGCCAGCGACTCGCCGGTTGGAGATTTGCTGAAAATCTCGTTTTGCGTTTAAAAGTCCAGCGCCCGCCGAATCATGCATGATAACTTCCGTTACTTCACTTCTCGAATCTCTCGCCGACGGGAGGTTGCACAAAATTTTGTTTTTACGTTTCATAGTCATTCTCCAGCGAAAGATCACATGCGCTGTTTCAAAATTATAGGTGGTTTTCAGCTGGGCGACTGGAGCCAGTCCTATGGTTCTCCAGCGACGCGCTAGTTAATACTTTCATGTTAAAACCAGATCCATTTGATCATGGAAAACTTTTATGACATTGTGCGAATAAATGCAAAAATTGATGAAGTGGACGATGTGAAATTTTTTCCACCTATAATGCCCAAAAGATATATAAGGGACATTGAAAACCTCATTGAATTTTACATTGACTTCCAGTTTAAACGTCGATACAGATTCAGCAAAAATGTGGTTATGGAGCATTTTATTACACTAGTGGAACCAGGGTTATTAAAAGTCGAGTTAAAAGTTAACCAGAGAGGTTTGCCAATACCTCCCGTAATAGCATTATAGTGCGAGTTAAGATTTTATGCGAATGGAAGTTTTCAGGAAGGTGCTGTCTTATTTTCAATTATTAAAATATTACTTCCCTCTCTTCATTTCTCTTATTTTCGATGTAAAAGAAATTATTAAATATATATTATTCCTACTAGTTACCATCATTTTATTTTTATAGCTAACGTGTGGGGATCTTCGAAGTGTGTCACAATTAACTGTCAGCAGAATAATTAGGTAAATTTAAACAATTTTTTTCTCTGAAGCACGCAATACTATTAAAATGCCTACAGCACCTGCCGATGAACAACGTATCTATGAACCATTTTATCAAATTGCACAATTTCCTAAAGTTATTGGTTGCATAGATTGTACACACATACTAATCAAAAACCCAGGCGGTCCTTTCGCGGAGCTATACCGAAAATATACATTCAGTATTAATTTTCAAGTTGTTGCAGGGCCTAATATGAAAATTATGGATATTGTGCAAGATGGCCCAGAAAAGAACACGATAGTATGATTTTTAATAATAGTTCATTGAAAGCAAGATTCGAAACAGGACAGTTATATGGATATTTTATTTGTTAGGTGATAGTGCAGGTTATCCATGTCTATCATATCTTATGACTCCTTTACTACATCCAGAAAATAACTCGGAGATTCGGTACAATTCATACGATGCGTCGCGTCGGCGGCTCGCCAGTATTTTCATCACCTTCCGCCCGCCAGCGATTCTCCAACGCTTGACTATGAAAAGCACATTTTTTTCCTCCGCCAACCATCCGCTCGCCGGAGTATTCACCAGCGACCGATTCTTTTGGCGCTTCGCCAGCGTTTGACTATGAATACCAGTGCCAGTCTCGCCACAAAAAGTATCACTTCTACTCCTAATAAAACAATATTCTATTTGAGCTCTAGTCTAAACTTTTTAAAACCACCTACCTGCCCTAAGTTAACAGGGTAATGATTAAAAATTTGCCTACTGTTATAAATAAGTGAATTTTGCGTCAATGCAGTCTTGGGTATAAAAGCTGAATTTTAAGTTGTTGCCTAGTTGGATAAGTTCTTGGATATTCTACCTCATCATAATGTTTTTTGTGCATAAGGCAAGCAGTTTCCATGATGAATATACAGCATACTGTGAGTATTTTATGTTTTAAAAATAGTTACTTGCAATGCTCCCAATATCCAACCTTACATAAATAGCGCACTGCTCTCTTTTGAATGACAAAAACAGAATCAAACAATTTATTAGAACAGTTACCCCAAAATGCAATGCCATACCTGATATGTGATTCAACCAACGAGAAATAAACCAACTTAGCAGTATTTAAACCAAGTTTATTTGACGCTATTCTTACAGCATAGCAACCACTTGCCAATCGTTTGTGCAGATTTGTAACGTGTTCATTAAACTTAAGTTGAGTATCAACATGAATACCAAGAAATTTACAGCTAGTCTTGTTTTCAATTGTATGTGTATCTAATAATAAATCATCAAAAAAATATTTAAATGTCAATATGTTGGTTTTCTTAGAGTTAAAACAAACCAAGTTAGAGTCACGCCAGCTCTTTACAAGATTTAGGTCTTCAGAAATAATCTTTTTCAACTCTTCAATATTTTTTCCTTTCCAGGACACAGTAATGTCATCAGCGAATGATGTTATTTTAGCCCTAATAGGGAGGTGATTAATATCATTTAAATAAAGTAAAAACAATATTGGTCCCAACACAGATCCTTGTGGAACACCATTGGTCACAGCTAAGTTTGATGACTGAGTATCGCCAATCTTAACAAATTGTTCTCTTCCTGA